AAAAAAAGAAATATGATTTCACTTAAGCTTAAGGAAATGGGCTGGTTGAATATGTCTAATCGTCGTTTACTACATTCACGTTGTTTTTTATAAAATCATTAAAACTGATACACCTGAATATTATTATTTTTATACGCCTCGCTTCAATGCATTGAAGCAAATACAAAACTTTTGGGTGAGATTATGTTTTATAACTCCACTTCTTCGTGGAAAACTTCTAATGGACTCTAAATGTGACACACACACTGTATTTCTTGGGACTTTAAGGTTTTGATAACAATAATTTAAAAATAATATATTCGCAGGAGTCGATTGTTCGATATTGGTTTTGGGACAGATGTCCATAAGGAATGTAAATATTTTTCATAGTTTGCCTTTGTTGACATCAGCTATTATTTTGTTGTGCTTTACCAGCCAGAATACTTCTTATTTATTGATCTTTTGGAAACCCATTGACTTTCTAACATCTCAGTTTTCACAAATCATTTGAATTTTTCGAGAATTTACAATGACTTTTACAGGATTTGTCATGGAAAATTCAACTGTTAGATAAGGTTCTGTTTTTAATGTGTACTTTCAGTCTTCAGCTTGAAAAAATTCACTCAGTTGAATTTTGCCATTTCCTTTGAGAAAGTTCACTGAATGGTTTTCTGAAATTGTGGAAATAGCATGCTCTACTCTCATCTATTATCTAGAATATTTAAGGTGGTCGGTGAATTCACAAAAACCCCGCCGCTTGGCAAGGTTTTGAATCCAATAAAACAATTCAAAGGAAAAGATTTTATACTTTCAGAAATATTATAATAGCTTTCTAATGAGAGACTGTTTTATTTGCTGTTACATTTATTTCTTTTTTACTATTGGTTTTCTATGAATAACGTGTTAGGAATCACACGTTGAAAGGTAAGACCTCGTTAGTCCTTAGCTCGCACAAGTTTCTCAACTTCTGAGAGTTGTCGTTCGTATGGGGGCGAAAGCTGATTAACGGAAAAACATATTTGAAACAGATTTTAAACAGATTGAATGATACACGAGTATATCAAATTGACAATGCCTGACAAGCATTCCATACGCCATTCCTTCGGAAGTAAATTGAATATTTCACGTGAACCTTCTCCATATAAGGTTATCAGAAATTCATTCAAGGCTGTCGTTCACTTAAGAGACACTAGAGAGTGAAATAAGAGATGGTATTACCACAATTTTTAAACAACATTCAGCAACCTTGCTCAAAGAAAATATTATAGAAATTAGATTGTCAGCAATAAGGAGCAAAGCAAATAGAATATCAACAACAAATAGAACAAAAGTAAAAATTCGAGTTTTTCTCAACATTTATGAACTATTCAAAAATACAAGCATTTATTCACTAGGCACCTTTACACCTTATTTCTCCTCAATTGACACTTTTCAACAATCAACATTTTTCCAATTGAAATGTTAAAAAATAGGAATATTGGCAGCATCAGTCGTACCGACTATGCCATTAACCATAAAAACGTAAAATACAGATATAAAACCAGAAAGCAGCTTCGCATATTTTTTTACATTTTTATTGGAAAAATGTTGATTGTTGAAGTGAAAAGTGTAAAGGAAGGAGGAATACGGTGTACACGTGACTTAGTGAATAATAGCTTGTTTTTCTAAATAGTTTTTGTGAAAAAGAAGGCTGAAAATTTGCCCTTTTCTGAACTTTGAAGGTCCATAACTTTGTAAATAAGAGAGAGCTAACCAAAAAGCAGCTTCGCATATTTTTTTACATTTTTATTGGAAAAATGTTGATTGTTGAAGTGAAAAGTGTAAAGGAAGGAGGAATAAGGTGTACACGTGACTTAGTGAATAATAGCTTGTTTTTCTAAATAGTTTATCTTGTGAAAAAGAAGGCTGAAAATTTGCCCTTTTCTGAACTTTGAAGGTCCATAACTTTGTAAATAAGAGAGAGCGCCGCATTTTTCATTCGGATTCGTAATCTACGCATCAAAATACTCAAGTATACTGAAACATTTTTTCAAAATTGCCGGGTGCCCTCAAAACGAGTATTTCCGAAATCTTCACTATTGATGGCATCCGTAGCCTTTATGAAGTACAGAATGTGACATGTAAGACTCCGTCCCGAGAAGGCTGAATATCAACTACTCTACTAAGTTGCCAACGCGAACGGGAAATTAATTCAGGTTTAGGACCATGACGATAATAATATTTGTCATACATTTTGTCCACTTACCTGGTAAAAACAAAGAGTGCAAATATTCGTGTTTCTAGCGATTCCAAAAATCTCTTTTTCATCTCTGAATCAACTGCCAACGAGAAAGAGTAGGTATTCAGTTTGAGCATATCTCGATTTCATTATCCATCTTTTCCTCAGGAAAAAATCGAATAATTGACGACAAGATATTGTAGTTGAGCCATTAAAGCGTTGGTTGATGTTCAGAAAATATCTCAACTCAATCACAGTTTGAAAGGCAATACGATAATGTGTTATCGTGTTACTGTCATAGAAAGACATCATACCTTTGTGTGACGAAGAAATTTATTAAATAAAAAACACGATTTATTATTACATAGTACAAATATTTTGTGGAGAACGAGTTTCAAATTTCAATAAATCGTGACAAGTTGATTCACATTATGGACGATTTTCTTTCGAAGACAAACGAATCCCATCCATAGGGTGAGTGTTTGTTCCTGCAGGTTGGTGAGTATCGAGTTTATGTATTACTAGTTGTTGCCCGCGGCTTCGCCCGCGTAGAATTTGGTGGTTGTAGTACTAATTAGTACTATGTTGCTGTAACGCTGCTGTTGCAATATTTTGACAGAATCAGAATCAACGAACTTAGACGTGCGCAGCGTTATAAAACAGTGCTTTAAAAAATTGTTCTACAGCGCCATCTAGTGGCGAGTTACAGAAAAATTGATAGCCTAAAAACCTTCTCTATGAAAAATTCCCTATACATGTCAAGTTTCATCACGATTGGTTGAGCGATGTAGAAGTTTATCATTTACCAACCAATCATCCAACACACATCCATTTTTATATATTAGATTTTGAAATCATATTTTATTATCTGATAATCTCCGTATGATTTCGCGCATTCATTTTGGAGTGGTGAGGTGGATATTGTTTTTGGCAAAGTACAATATCTCTTGTTCGTGTTGTGTGAAGCGTTCAATGGCGGCTAGATGTTTGATAATATTTCGTTGAAATCACTGTCCATTTGATAGAGTTTGGTTTTGCGTTATTTCATTTCTGGAGAGAAAGGTCGACTCGCTTCCTCAAAGAGTGAATATAATTTTTTCAACATTCGAAGATTGATAAAAGGATGTAGTGTTGATCATAATCAGTTGAACTTGAATAATTATTTGAAATATCCCTGTCAAAGATATTTTGAAAGAATATACAGGGCTATTGAGAATTTTGCTTATTAAGAACTTCAACTGACCCTAAGGGTATGTGTGAGACTGTCAATAGCCTAGATGCCATTGGACACTGATCATAAAACATGAACAACACATTGTTCTGTGCTAGAGAAAAATATTCACGACACTATACTGCAACAAAAAAAAAAGCGAAACTAGCACATTTCTTTGACTCTGAAGAAACATTCTGAAATAAAGAACTATTGAATGTATTTTATTTCGATAACAAATACTCTCAAACGTTCCATGATATCCAAGGGATATCATTTTAAGAATGCAATGATCTGACAAAATCTTTTATTTGACAGGGGCAAGTTATATGCAAGCTATGGTACTATCTGAAAGACTTCAAATAGTGACTAGAAAATTTTCCGTCGATAAATCTGGTGCCAAATCTAAACACATAGCCTTAGTGGCAGAGCAGACAAAGAGGCATAAATAGATTTTATGCGTTTCAGAACCACGGAATCTCCCTGAACAATTGTTTAATGGACCTTTGAAATCTTTGAAATGAAGTGGGAAAATTGCCCGTAGAGGATTTAAAATTGTTTAGATTCTGTTTTCAACAGATCAGACAGCTATGACCAATGCGCTTCCTAGATTTAATCGTTTCCTAGAGATAATGCGTTTCCTAGAGATGATCGAACATTTATGAAGCAATAGAAATACCAATTTTGATTAGTTGGTCGAATATATCACTTAAGTATAGTATTATCGATAATGGTGATAAGGCTATGAGAGAGAATATATTTCTTTATTACTTGAATAGTCAATGTGTTTGAAGAGTGAAAAAGCATCATGAGTTAAACAGGATGCTTTTGGGTCAGATAAGGGTGATTTACAAATGATATTGAATCGCTGTACAGAGTGGGCCAAATTGGACACTTTCAAAAGGTAAACTCATGTTTTCAAACTAGATAGACGAAAACTGATATGTGCGTCAGAGAGTCAAATTTTATGACAAACCTATTGGTGGAAACTGTATATCGATATCTATCATCATTTCTGAGTTACAGCATGTTATTCAAAAATGTGCATGCAAGAAAAGTTTTTTCTGTCAAAAGTTTCTTATTACTATGAAAATATCTCCAAAGCACTTTTTTACGTAGAATGTGGTAGGCCCAATACTGTTTCT